TTTTTAATAATAATAATAATAATAATAATAATAATAATAATAATAATAGTAATAATAATAAACGTCACTTAATATATAGCGCAAATTTCCACATGAATGCTCAATTGCGGTTCACAAAATTTCTAAAAATAATAATAATCAAGAGATCATTCAGTTATATAAGTACATACAAGTAAAAAAACTTAGGAAAATTAAAATATTTTAAGATTAATTTTAAAACGTGATAGACTCGTGCTCGTCCTTATCGTGGTAGGTTGTTCCACAACTTTGGGGCAGCGAACATAACAGCGCGATCCCCGAATGTCTTTGATTTCATTGGAGGAAAGCGGAGTAAGGTTCTATTACAAGAACTGCGAAGACTGTATCGTGAAGGTGTCGCAACACAAATAAGGGAAGTTAAAGAAAGATAAGAGGGAGCCATATTATTTAAAATCTTAAAAGTAATTAAAATTATCTTAAAATCAATGCGTTGCCTCACAGGTAGCCAGTGCAAATCCCGTAATATTGGCGTGAAGTGATAGAATTTAGGCACTGAACATACCATGCGAGCACATGCATTTTGAATTCGCTGGAGCTTTAAGATAAGACTGTTAAGCAAACCACAGAATAAACTGTTGCAGTAATCAAGCCCGCTAGATTCTGCCCTATTTGTAACTCTGGTATAATTGAAGACGAATTTCATTTTCTCTTCCATTGTCCAAAATACTCAATCCCAAGGGAGAAATTCTACAATCAAATCCAACAAAATTTTGTCGACTTTAATCAGCTATCTTACACAGAATTAATAATTAAATTAATGAATTCACAGAATTTTTCCGTAAATTCACATTTGTTGAAATTTGTCTCATTATGTAATGATTTACGTAATAATTTGTTATCAAATCATGCTGATGACACTTGATTGACTATAGTAATCATTGCATTGCATTATCATTGTTATGATTTGTTTGTTTGTTTGTTTGTTTTTTTATGTTAAAGCTTTTGCAATACTGTAACTACATAATTATAGTCATGCAAATAAAGCTTATGTTGTTGTTGTTGTTGTTGTTGTTAGTAGTGAACGCGTGAATAAGGGTTTCGGTGCTTTCTTTAGATAGACATTTCCTGAAAGGAAGAATATTGTAAATTAAAGGTTGAAAAACCCTGCTCCACACCTCTTATTAAAGTGAGTAGCTGTTGCATTATCAAGCCTGCTAGCAGTGAACGTGTGAATAACAGGGCCACCCGACGAGAGTATAGTTCAAAACCACTTAAACGTAGTATTGTTAAATGTATTTTAGTATTTAAGAGGTAAATATAGGCATATTTTTATCCCTTAAAAATTTTTCATCTGTTCCGATTTCCTAGCGGAGAGTTTAGTGATCCGAAAATTATAGGGATCAAAACTTACCTTTTCTAAAATTTCAGCTTTTCAAAATTTTAGGTGACCTTTTTAGGGTAAAAATCAGTTAAAAATGGGCAATTATACCATTTTTAGATGTTCGAAAATCCTAGGAGAGGCAGGCAAGCAAGAAATTTTACAACAAATGTTCCGAAAATTCTAGATCTCAAATCGTCTTCCGAACAGATATGTTTCGAAAATTGACGTTGAGTGCCCCTGGAATAAGGGTTTCGGTGCTTTCTTTAGATAAAAATTTCCTGAAGTGACGAATATTGTAAATTAAAGGTTGAAAAACCCTGCTCCACACGTCTTATTAAAGTGAGTAGAGTATAAACTGTTGCAGTAATCAAGCCTGCTAGCAGTGAGCGCGTGAATGAGAGTAGAGTAGACTTAGTAATCTTTGAATTCAAGCCACACTTTTAGGTCTCTGGCATCGCCAGCCGAAAAAACGTCAACAGATCCAACCCTAATCGAGTTAATAAAAACTTTGGCTAGTTGTTGATGTTTACCGATGAGTAAGAATTTAGTTTTTTCATCGTTAAGCTTAAGTTTATCATGAAGCATCCAAGACATAATGTCGCTGATGCACTGTTCCATTGCAGCAAGGGCAGAGGCCTGATCGTCAATACTGTTGTCACAAAATGAAAGATACAACTGAGTGTCATCAGCGTACGCATGCACAGAGGCCAGATGCGATCGAACAATTGACAATTATTCCACGCGTGCGCGTTGGATATGAGATGTTAGATAGCCAAAGAGACGCGTAGCGCCGAGTTGGCTATAATCATCTTCCAATTTTGAACTGACGCGTACACCGACCATACGTGGAGGCATAGTATAATAGCGCATATACCATGGTGGGTGAGCCAATCAAAACGCTTGAATTGCATTATCGAAAGATTCAGTTTTTAATCAAATATCTTGCTTGCGTAGATCGAAAACAGTACAGGGCCAAGACAGGACCTTCGAGGAACTCTCGAATACAGATCAAAGGCATCAGACATCATGCCATCAACCGAAACTTGCCGTGATCGATGGGTTACATGTCAAACGAACTAGGAAAGAACTGAGCCTCCAAGGCCAAACTCCGTTTGCAGTCTATGTGTTAGGATTTCGTGATCTACCGTATCAAATGCGACATTTAGGTCTAGCAAAACAAGAAGCGATCAGCATACATAGCCTTTATTCATATCCATTAACAGGTCGTCTTTTACTTTCAACAACGCAGTTTCAATGCTGTGATTTTTACGGTACGCAGATTGAAGCAGAGGAAAAAATACCGTTCGAAGACATATAGGATAGGATAGGATCCAAGACGCAAGATTTCTTCTTTGAAGAATTTATCAGTTCCTGAACATCTTGCTCAGAGAGCTTTTAAATTCAGACCACAGCGAAACATCAGTCAATAACTCAGACGGATCACTGCAAAAGTTTCACAAACCAGATTGTTACCGATCAAGTGAAGATCTGATGTTGATGGATCTTAGCCGGAGGAAGAAATCCCGACTGTTGTGTGGGTGTAGCCTGTAGTGGTACAAATTTACACTTCCATAATAACTTCCTGATACCTAGGCCAAAAGTACTAGTAATCTTAATACCCCATGCACTAGTTTACAGGCACTCCACTCAAATACTTAGAAACAAACAAAATTAACAGGCGGGAGGCTACACCAGTCGGCAGAGTCCAAAGTGACTGACCACTCGGCCATGTTGCCTCCTCCTGGTGACACGGATGCAGATAGGCGAGGTCTGGTGTAAACTATAGTGTTTATCAGAGTCTTACAGGAGAAATTGACCTAAAATGCAAAGAGTAACCCAATGACTTTAACTTTAGTTAAAACAACAAAAAAATGTTTTTCTTTTCGTGTTTGACTAGATATGACAAACCCTTGGGAATGAGCTGGATAGAACAGACTATAGGAGTTGCCTATCATAGTGAGTAAAATTATGCATTAATCCATCAAAGGACTTAAAGCTGGTGAAAAACCGCTTCAACTTCGTTCAACATTTGTTGCTCGTTAATGTTGCGAATTGTTGAATGACTATAAACACAGGCATTAGCAGAGGACGCCATATTCATTCCCTTCCAAATCACCTGAACGTAAGTCAGGAACTACGATTGGTTGGCACCGTTCAAAAAGTGGCAAATTGTTGAATGGAATACAACTCGTCTCTATTTCTTTCAACTGCTTTCTACAGCGTTCAGCATGGTGAACAGCCTATTACAACATTTACCAACGCATGACAAACACTGTTCAACGTTTGTTGATCAACAAATGTTGAACCGTTTGTTACCAGCTAACAGTCAACAAACAATTTCAAAAATGCGTCCAACCCCACCCTAGAGGCATTTTCCTGCCGGCCAGAGAATCAATTAGGGATACAAAAACATCCTCAGATTACATGTACCCAATCATTTGGCTAGTCTTTTAAAGTAGATCTTATGCTGCCAAAATGAATGTCTGCACTACTGGACTTTTTAAAAATTACTGGGTTAAATAAATGGACGGTGTTCTCTGTTCTCTCTCAAATTAACGATATTTCACCAGGAAACTTGCGACGCGTTTAAGTATCAATTTAAAATGAAATGATTAGGTGATCTTAGGAGTTATCGCCGGCTGAAAAAGAAGTTGAAAGAATTCACGCTTTACGGGTATTCAAGCTCTGACCATAGCGATGACCGACTGCGACACCTTAATTCAATTGAGCCAATTAAGTCAACTGGAGAGAGGGTGAATTGCGAATCGATATTGAGTCAATTGGGAGAAATGCAGTGAAGCAGGGGCCAGGAGACTGCCTATAGTAAGCTATCCTCAGTCAAGATACATATTAAGCCTTGTTTCTACACAATGCATTATTGTAATCAAACAGAACATAAGATATATATAGTAAAACGAACACCTTAGAGTTGCGTCCCTGCCTTTCTTTACTCCCTTTACTTAGCTCTCCACGCTAATACGGACGCTACAGTCTTGGACAGACACTTTAGAGTTTTGGTCCCAAAGGTGTGTCCTTTTGAAAGACAGTTGACCCTTTCCCCAGACTGTCAACCTAACCTTCAATCTTTTCTTTTTGTTCTCAGGCACTCCAAGATCCTGAGACACGTGTTTTGAAGATCAGTACCAAAGATGTAGATTTAGATGTTAAGTCATTGATGGTTACAGTTTTCAGTACTTTTCTTTTATTAGTATTTTATTCTGTTTTGTCTTTATATACATGATTCTTAACAGTTATATAAAAACTAAAAGATTAAATTTCACAAATGTCTTGTTACTATCTTTAAAATCAAAATCTAAACGGCGCCTGTTGTTCGGATGTAGCCTAGTGCTTTCTTTATACTAAGATTTGAGCATACCGTATTTCCTCGAATAACAGCGGGGGCAATTATTTTTTCCGCACCAAGAGGGGGCGATCCCGCGATTATATGAGGGAAGATACGGTATTCTTCTAGTTTACTTCCAATTGAGACTGATCTTGTATCACACATCACATTATCTAGGGGACTTAATAAACGCAAAACTAGACAACTTATTAAAAACAGCTCTTCTATATATGATATCTTTACAGTTGGTTGCTCTCAGAGTACAAGTATGAAGTATGACCTTTTTCCAGCAAAGTTTCAAAACCTTGGAAATGCCGTTAGTACAAATCCTTTTTTGTTGAAGTTAACGGACGTTATGGTCAGTGGTTTTCCGTTGATTTGACATGTGCAGGTAGATGACTGGAAAAAACACGCAGTGTACAAGGCCATTTCAAAGGCTGGGCTCGTACCAATAAAAAAGCTGCTTCCTGGAGGTTTACTGGCCCCTCCCCACTGAAATCTGGCTCTGATCAACGCTGGCTAAGATAAATAAATCGAATCCAAAAATGAATTTCAACCCTGGCTACGGCAGCTATATAGTCATGAAACCAACTTGCTTAACTTTGAAATTAGAGAAAGCTAAGATAACCAAAACACTTTTGAAGGATCATACAATTTTCAACCCTAGAAAAGCTATTCATTTAATCCGTTCATTCCAATGGAAACGCAGAATTCAATAAAATATGGGCTTGCGGAAAGTACTGTGGAACCTCGATATAACGAAGGGCCAAGGGACTGGCAAAAAATGTTCGTTATAACGAGGTTTCGTTATATCGAGGTTCTTTTCCATATATTTTACCATTATACAAAGAAATCGTTTGCTATACCGATGACTTCGTTATATAGAGGTTCGTTATATCGAGGTTCCACTGTATGACATCTTTTAATGACCTTTTCAATGTTTGTGGAGTTTTATTTTGTTCGTAAGTGTTCATAAACCACTATAAATTAAACCAACTGTTTGAAACTCTCTATTGCCGGTCATTTGAAAGTTACCGAAAATTCCGCTCGCGAGAGACTGGGTCGGAGTTGTGTCGAACTGCAACATGGGACTGTTTTCAGTGACGATCATTTCCTTCCCCGGGGCGGGTACTCAACAAAAGGTTATATGGGGAGGCTCTGCCCCGAGGTAAACCGCCTATTCCCTAGTGACAAAAGGTACTGCTTTAGTATAGAATTTCTTCTATTGACAAATGGTACCCCTTTCACATACCTAGTTTAGAACTTTACATCCCTTTTAACTGCTGTAGATGCACTGTCTTTTAATACGAATAAATCACAAAACCAGAACGTTTTCTCGAGTTTTTCATGGGCTTGAAATGCATCTGTTGACTCTTTTAGCCCTTTGAACCTTTTTACAGCCCGAAATGAAATCCCTACCCTTTCATCTAACGGAAGCCTAACGGAGTTACCCCTTCCGGGGAGCCTCCCCGTATAGGCCATTATAGAGAGTACATTTCTCCCCTGCCGAGCTTTTAACAGCCAAATAAAAGAAACGTAATAGCATTCAGAAGCAGGTGCAATTCGACGCAACATCGAGTCAGTTTCACAAAACCTAAAAACGGCATCGCATGCCTTGAGTTTAAACAGGAGGGTTTAAAATGTACCTCAGTGTTAACAGATCTTCCCAGGGGTGGAGGAGAATAGGTTAGCCTCCCTGTTTGCTTCTCAGAAAGGAATTGGATCCAGTTGTGAAATCCCGTCGTGATTCTACGTTTGGTTTTCCAGTCATAAACCACTTCTCCTAATCATGAAGACAAGATCGTACAAGGTGGCAAGCTTTAACATGATAAACGAATAGTCCTTTGATATACGCAAAATATGAGTTCTTGCTAGAACAAATTCGTACGATATTAATTCTCCCATTTTTTGCTAGGAGTGGCACCAGCTTCGTCTTATGAATGAATTTAAGATGAAACTACAAGTAAAAGCACTAGACCACTACTAAGTGAGAAAGCGTCACAACGAAAATGTACCGATCATATCCGATTAGACGTCAAACGCCCCTTTTCGAAACTGACAAAAGAATGTATGAAACAAAAGCTCTACTGTCTTTCAAAAATGCAACCTTAACGATAGGCAACGTTTGATAGGGTATAGTACATTTTATGGCACAAAATTAAAATGAAGAGCCTTACCTACAAATGTGTGCTCAAATCCAGAAAAATGAGGACCCTTTCGTCTTTTAGCGTACTTTTCAAACCACATCTTCTTTAAGACAGGCTTGAATTGGTCAAGGCACTAAAACATGATAACAAACAGATAGAAGTTTTGTCAACGTCGAGATTTTTGTCAAACCCACCAGTCGGGCATCGGAGACTACAGATATGTGAAACCGCTTTCCCGATACTTTCTTTATCTTTAAAATTTTCATCAAACGAACGAATTCTTAGTCGTTGTGTAGCTTAAGTTAGGCTGCCTTGTCACATTTGCTTACAAGTACTGATTACCAAATTTTGTTAAATGTGTTTAATGTTAGAGTGGTTTTCGTTTGAGTGTCGTAAAACCAAAACCAAAGTAATTACTCTGGCCAATCACATAGGACACAGACAATACATTGAACCAATCAAAACTCGAAGAAATTACATGTGGCTGACGCAAAGCGCGGGAAAATGCATGCGGGCGCGTCACAATTGGCTTTGGTTTTACTTCTGATTGGATGAAAAGGTGGCGCGAATCTTTTAAGCCAATCGCATCGTGTAGAAAGTGCAAAACCAATTACTTTTCGACACTCAAATGAAAACCGCTCTATGTAATGTGAGTGACTAAACAAACAAGTAATAAATATAAATAAATAAAAAAATGATTTGAAAACCTCTCAGATGATTCGAGACTCCCCATGGGGAGGAAACATTTAAAAAGTTCACTCATCACAAGTGAGAAATTCTTTGTAAATACGGCATATTCCCTTTAGTTTAAGCATTAAGGATCATCAGGCGTATTGAGGGGTAGGAGGTAGGGTAAAGAAAGTCAAATGTGGTATTTACATTGAATGAAATACTGCCTTGATCTTTGAGATACTGAAAGGCAATATCCATTGGCCCTCCACTGACAACCATGGCGTCGATCAAAGCATCCTCTTCCAGCAGTTCTGTAGCATTAGTCTTTTCTGGTCGATTTTCGTCTGCCTCGTAATTATCTAGCAAGGCTTAAGAGAGATAGACAAATCTTTCTAATTGTTCTGGAGAGAATATGGCCCGGGGAGCCACTCAAGAAAATATTGGGAAGAGGTGTGCCGCCGAGGCCTTCGCACAACCTGACCCTTTTTTAAGAGAAAAGACCTTTTTTATGAGCCTGATTCGTTTCGTTTTGCACACGGACTTTTTCAAACTAATATCACGGAATTTAGTTTTTTGAAGAAAAAAAAAATGACTGTTGATACCACAATCTTGTAGACCGCTCACTGCTAACCTTCCCTCTCTTTCAAAGGCTTGACTCGTCGAAGAAATACACCCTGTCCAAGATGCTAAACGGTGAAATTGTATACTCTGATCCTGTTCAGCGGCACATACCCGTTTAAGCCAAGCAAGGAAGGGTACCCCCGGGGACAATGAGGCAGCTAAAGCCGATCGCACTTCGCGTTCTCGAGGAGATGTGCGTCTTGAATAGCGGATAATTAAGGGAAACGGTGCGCTTCAACTGTGTCTTCTCTTTGATAACTTGTTTAGGGGAAAATAACCCTGTTTTGTGAAACATTACAGGTAGTTTGCAGTGATTACATGGATTACACTGGGGATAAATAACGATTTCTTCCGGCGATCGATCCCAAGACTTTGACTTCTCATACTTTAAGACCATGACAGACAAGCTTGTTTTCAATTATTTAAGAAATTATTAGAATTAAACTGAGAACAAATCAAAAAAGAAAAGATCACCTTTAAATTTCACGAAAATGTCTCTTTTCATCTTTGCTTTCCCTAGCTTTGTCAGCGTAATCAGGGGATGTGGTTTAATTCCCGCATAGATGACGATATCCTGACCAATTTTCAGATTGTTCCCTGCTGAATTCCACATTCTTTGGCAAACGTCTCCTAAATTACTTTTGTTTACAAAAAAAACACGAATAATCAAAATAATCAAGCAACAAAGGATAGGGGATTACGAAAAATAAAACAGAGACCACTAAAAAGGAAATGAAACCGGTATTTTTCTTGTATATTTTAGAGAAGTGAAGCTAAATCTTGTACGTCTACTTTGAGCCCAAAAAAGGAGACTGAAATTTAAAGACTTAACGATAGAACGTCTTTAAGATCAATTTTTAGCACTCATTAGGGTAACTTGTTGTAAAATTATTTTCTATCCCTGATCCTAGCAAATGTCAAAATGAAAGGAAAATGAAATTAATTGAAATACTCTAATTAGTTTTTCCGCTGCCATTGCCGGTTCAGCTTGTTTAATGTTTTCAAAGTACTTGGTGGTGCAGAGTTGTCAAAAATCAGAACAAAAATGTCAGCTTTAATGGAAAAACGTGTAAAATGTCAACTTTAACAGAAAAACTAAAATATGTATCAACAAGTATGGCTGAGGCGAAAAGCTTGGTTATCTAAAAGGGTGGCCAATTTGGGACGATGAGTTCCGGCATCATGATAACGGACGGATTATGGCATCAGGATGGAACCGGAATGAGACTTAAATCAATGAAGTCTAGTGCGCGCCTTTTGCAATGACCTGCCAGTGCTAGTTGCATAGTAACAAAGTTAAAAGTTTTATCTTTTTCCAGAAATGCGTTTCTCATCGCGGTCAGTTGCCTTTTTATTTCTTCTTAACAGGCAACATTTCAAGGGGATATTTTGCAGTATAAAATATTCTTTGGCTTTTTAAGAGATCAGTACTACTAAAAGGCTGGTTACTTGTACATATTTCCTTTCTAAGTTCATTAGACTTGCAGGACTAGTTGTATTCAAAAAAGAAGCGGAGAGTAAGCTACCAAGGCTTGTACATTACTGAATGATGCTATATGATCAAATTAAAACATTGTGAGACTTTTCCCAGAGCTGAGCAGGGCACCCCGATATAGGCAAAAACGAATCAAGGCGATCTTTTCATGCCCCTGAAATGCGTATGCCAAGTTCCCTAATTGCAGGCGGTAGTTGGTTATTGAGAATCATTTTGAACACTATTTGCATTTTACTCACGCTGTAAAAGTCGCCTTAGTCTTTCCACCGCCCAGACGTGAACATTCTCCGTAGCTACAGACAGGAATTAGGAAAGCGATGACAAAGCTGAAACTTCGCATTTTGATTGAAGACTTCCCCTGTAGGTCACGAGAAATAATTTAGTTGGTAAATCTTAGGTGCCTATTACTGAGAAAAGTGATGTGTTTCTCCGCCAAGCTAGTGCTGATTATAAAGGTTATATCTTCCTTGATTTTGAGTATATACAGCTGAGAGTACTAATGGTGTTTTGCGTTTATCTCGCCCTGTTTGACGAGCTGAGTGTCATTTTGCGTCAATGCCTACCAAACTGATGCTACTGTGACATCATGGATGCATTAGAGATAATGAATGTTAGTTCAGGTACCAGCAAAACCAATCTACACTTTCCTCTTCTGAGTGGGTGAAAGTTTGAGATGTCGACTTTTAAGGATTCTTTTTTGCGAAATACTTACGAATTACCTAAGGCAAACACTAGTGGGAGACTAATTGCCGAAGGGGGTTTTGACTGAAGTAGGACAGTGCTCCTTCAGAACACAAGGTTCTTTCAGTTATCAAGGTTCTTTTTCACTCGTTACAACATGCCAGAACGTCTTCTGCTACACCAGTTTAATTTAAAGGATCGTAATAAAGACTGTAAACTTGTCACCCACGTATGCAAGAGAAAAAATTGTTTACAGCTGTAATTATAATGATAATCACTATTTTTTAATGCAGGAGGTAATAAGCATAATTTATGGACTTGGAAGTTATAGGGTCATTATTGTTTAGCCACGAGAATTACATAGGATAAATTGCATGAAATCAGCATGCAATTAGAGAAATATTTTTTGCTAACAAATTACAAAGTGAGATAAATCCCTCGATAAATTTAAATTTCAACGTCTATGAAGTTTTAATTTTTCGAAACAGGGTCATGGTTTTTTGACGAATTTATAACACGGACACAAGTACCAGTTAATTTCCATGATTTACAACGTTATTATCTAAACGACACCATTAATAGCTATTAATGGAAACCGCAGTTAAGATGTCTGAAGCATCACTTATGAATCTGCAAGTCATACATGAAAACTAGCAAAATATAGATCCAGCAAACTGAACGAGTAATTTCATTAATTTCGCCGGACCCTCCCTGGGCTTTGCGGTTATTACAAGGAAATTTAAAAACACTGTATTTCTAATACGAAAATTGTTCCATGCAGCTTTAGCGTTTTAATAGCCTATTTCAATTTCTATACTTTTTATCTTTTTTTCACCTTTTAGGTAAAATACGCATCGTCTATGATACAGAGTAAAGTACTATCTTTCTGCCTACTTGCTGGGCAAACAGGGCTCTCAGCAGTCAGGAAAGAGGATGAAGAAGACAGTTTAATCGCCAAGAGCTCTGTTTGACCAGCAATTAGTTGTGTTTCTGACTAATATTTGATATTGGATGCTGCTTAAAGACATCTTTTATGAGCCTGGTTTACACTCAGGTCACTCTGTAGCGGTACTAACTTTGCCATTAAACTCAAAAACAAAACCTCAGTTAGATTGGAATCGGTCGTTCACTTTATCTAACACGGTTAGCGGTAACACTTTCATGACCTGGACCGGAACGAACGTCGATGCTCCAGTAAATGTTTGACTTAATTGCGAAATATTCGACGTCAACCTCGTTACTATCTGTGAACTGGAAACCAGGCATCATTTGCTAAATAAAGGTGTTTTGCCACATCCGAAAGTGCTTTAGCATCCTTAAGTAAACATTTTGGCCAAAAGAGATCCAGTTGTTTAAAAAGCTTGGCAGTTGAGTAGTTATTGGGTAAAAAACCAGCCACTATACGAGAGCATTTTTTGAAGACCCATTAAAATAGTATTTTACAGTAGTTAATTCTTTTTATAAGTAAACTTTTTTAAATCTGTGCGAAAACTAAATCTCGTTTTTGTTTTTGATGTTGACTGTATATTTTCTATTTCAAGTGGAAACGCAAGGTTTTTTGGTCACTCCACCTTTCTTTAAAGAATAAAATTTACGCTCTAGGTATTGCAATTCACGTCTTCGTTTAATTTTGTGTAATTTTCTTACCTTTTGCTACATATGATAAAAGCTAGTTGTGCAATGAGGAAATGCTTTCGTAAATCTGTAGTTAATTTTTTATCTCAGGTAATTTTTATCCTTTCTTTTGTTTTAACTTCATTAGCATACATTTACCATACACAAAAACAATAGAAAAACAAAAATTACCTACAACATAAAAATTAACTACAACATAAACATCATACATCACAACTGGCTCGATAGCACTAATTTCCCAACTACTACACAAGTGAAGAATGCAATGTGCTAAAAACCAATACACTCTCCATAGCAGCTGATTGAATGAATGGAATAAACTTGCATTTTGTAAATATTACCTTACAAAGCACACTGCTCTTGAGCAATTTTAACTTGACCGGTAAAAAAAAGGCGCATTACGCGTTACGAAATTCACACACTATGCCTATAATAATTCTTTGCCCAGTTCTTATTAAGCAGTATATGACGAAACTTTGGACCCCCAGATGACTGAATCCCTCTTAGCTCGCAACAGTTTAAGGTCCTGAATACTGGCTTATAAGCAGTGGCAGATCCAGGGGAGGGGCCCGGCTCCTCCCCTATATTTTTAGACCTAAAACTGACGCCTGAAGGGTCGAGAAAATATTTTGGAAACCAGCCCCCCCTTAACTCAAGGTCTGGATGACCGCCCGCCCCTCTTATCTGAAGGTCTGGACCCGCCATTGATAAGTAAATGAAATAAACAGTTGAAGCACAAATTACAACCCCTTATACTGGGCCTTGAAATATCCATGAAAAATAAGCGAGATACACTCTGCTTAAAAAAGATTATTAGGGCCCATGAAGCGGAGATGCCAAAATGTTTCAGGCAATATTGACATCTTTCAGAGGGCCATGGTACTCATCAAGTCTTAAGGTCGTTCCCTTAATAAAAACAAGGTCTGTTTCTTTTTGTGAAAATAATGTGAACATGTGGTTTTCTGAGATTGGGAAAGCTCGAACGCGGGTGAGTGTGAGCCAGCAACAAACCAAGGACTAAGTAGCGAGTCTAAATTACATTGGAACATGCAAATTTCTCGTTTTGGCGATTGTTCCCGTGATGTGAAATCCATGAAATTCAAAACCCATATTATAATAGAAAATTGAAATCAAAAATAGACGGATTAACCCATGTAACAACAACAACATGTACAGAATATGTATCGACAAATACACAAATTATTTACTGATTTTACGGGTAAATTCCATTTTGTATCGTCTGTTGCGAAATAACGTTAACGTTTTTTCCAATATGCGTTTTACTTCCAGTTTACCTTAAACGTTAATTTCTTAATATGCGCTTTTCTTGTTCCAGTTTGTAGAAATTTTAAAAAGTTCAGACCTTAAAATATAAAATGAGTTGGGTTTCCATCAGTGGAGGGAAACACTTTTATTCTTGTAAACCATTATGGATGCCGTGACCTCAGCCTCAAATTAGCAATAAGGTACTTTTGCCCAACTCATTCAAATAAAAGGTCAGATTATAGAAAGGACTATCTGATAAGTTGAAGCCTTTTTAGACCCTGTTTAGTCGATGAACTTGACCATTTTTAAAGGTTTCGTATTTACAAAACGGTACATTTTTTGCACTGGCACTGACACTGAAATTGGCAGCAGGGACAGCAGCTTTCAGATGGTGCTTCTTTTGCGGAAGAGCTATCTTCGCTCATTTGGAAGTTACTTGTAACTAAGGGGACACCTTTGTCGTTCTTGGTTTCCTGTTCGGGATAAAAAAGCTTCAGAACAGAAACAGTTCCAGATTTAGTGACGAGGATCACAGAGTAGCCGTCATCAGCAGAGTGCGCGTCGAAATACTTGACTTGGGACTGAAAATCAAATGAGGTAACCAGCTTGCCACTTGCTATGTCCCACGCTTTTATGGTCCCATCGCGCGAGCTAGTCATCAAAACATGAATGCCTTCAACACACGGTCCTGACGCCGTATCACGAGAATCACGTGAAAGAAGCTGAAGGTTCATAACTGCGTGGGTGTGACCGATAAACTTTCGTACACAGTTCCCATTGGAGAGGTCCCACATTAGAAGCTGGTCTTTCCCTTCATGCGATCCAGCGATTGCGAAGCGATTATCACTTGTGATTCCTAAGCATTTGATTGAGTCATGATGACCGTCTATTGTACGCAAACACTCACCCGAGTCAGTGCTCCAGACGCAAATGGTATGGTCTCCTGAACCCGAAACTACAATCGTATTGTCGTCAGTTGATGCTAAACAACCAACATCTCCAGTGTGACCTGAAAAGATTTGTTCACAGCTCTTTTTTTGCAAGTTCCAAAGACGCAAAGTCTTGTCTTTTGACCCTGAGATAGCACGGAGCTCTCCATACATAAAATCAACACACAAGACTGCATCTGAATGACCAAGCAGCTGTTCCCCACGGCCGCTAACGACGTGGAAAAGGCCAATCGTCTTATCGCTAGACGCCGACAAAATGAACGTGTCCTCTTTAGAGATTTTCAAAGATACAATACTTCCTTGATGCACCTTTACATTTTGCTCCACCTCAAGGCTTCCATCACAGTTCCACAGTGTTAGGTCACCACTGTGCGAACCAGTTGCCACGTGCGTGGATTTATGCATAGCGGCGATAGAAGCAATGGAGGCTTCGTGGCTGCAGACGTATTTGGCATTTTTGATATCCCACAACTTCAAAGAGTCATTCTTAGAACCAGACAGGCCCCAACGACCATCTGCTGTTATAGCAACACACTCAGGCTGTGTTGCATGGTGAATTATGTGATCGCTCGGCGTTGACAATTGCTCGGCATGCTCATTGCCCATGGCATTCCACAGCTTGACGTTTTTGTCATTTGAGCCAGAAATTATGGTTTTGCAATCTTTTGCGATGGAGACGCATGAAATCCAGGATGAATGGCCAATCAGTGTTTGCTGACATTCTCCTGTCACTGGATTCCAGACCTGAAAATGAACAGTGACATAATAGGCCACTTGCACTAAGAGGTCACGTGACCAATGCTTCCTTTAAATAATGAGTTGGAATCTTGCTGATGCCAAAAATTGACAGAGCTCCTAAAAATAATCTTACCTCCGAAATTTGAGAGGAAACTCGTGTAAGGGAGA